GATGTTTGTGGGTGCCCATCATGACACAAGTCTGGCACATCGAAGATACAACACTTCAAGCATGTGCATGGGGCATTCCTGCTGATTTCCTCAAAATCCAAGCTACTAACCTAATGACACTCCTAATGACCTATCACCAACCATGTGCTGAAAACCGGCAATTCCCTCAATCTAGTCTATCATCTTTGTCATGTTGCCCATTGTGAGTTGAAGGGGAATTCCTCCTCCCCGCCCACCTCAGGCACTGTGACTCACGCCCAAAAAAACGACCTCGGACCCTGGTGGAAATCGCATACACATGTCCTTGTGGTCCACTTTTGAGACGTCCCTCTTGAGTCTGGAAACACATGATTCAATAAACATGGTGCAAACAAATTCTGAGATCAGCCTAGCATGTGCCAAGAAAAATAAACATCTATATGTAGAAAGCAAAAACATCAACATTCTTCGACCGGTGCAGTGCCCACTCCATCCGCTCCCAGAAAATCACACGCCCTGCGCCCCTGCAGTCCTTGTCTGTCACCTCCTTGACCACCCGCGGTTGTGTCACAGGAGCTGAGTATACGGGATAGCCAGCTGGCCTGAGTGGGATGAATATTCTTAATATGGATGGCGTCCTTTTGGGACCAACATGTGAAACTACTATGCCGTATGTAATATGATGTCTAAAACAATATGTCTACTATCGGTCGTAGACATGCAGCCCACCCCCCCCGTTTTAAGAACAAACAATCCTAAGCAATGCACAAAACAAACTGCTTGCCTGCACGTGCTAAGAAGTTGGTTTTCGACCAGATCTTGTGAGGGTCAAATCTTCCGGGACTGCCTGGGACTTCTGACCCACCGTTCCAGTCTGGCTTCCGAGGTCTTGACCTGCCCGTTGGTTCTCGGGCTTCTGGCCTGTGAAGGGGGAAGCAAGTTCCAAAAATGATCCAAAAATAGCTTGCGGAGCTGTAGAAGTTGCTTGGGATTTCCCCATGGTTTTCCGGACTTCTTGCCTTCAGTCTGGGGGTTGCCCCGCCGCATCCCACCGCCGCTCTTCTTTGCCCTCCAAGCTTCGGATAGCTGTAGCCACCCTGCACTACTTGTGGTGTGATCGTCCGCACCACCGTCGGCGTCGACGCCACCGCGGGCACGGCGCTTTGCACCACCTGTCGAAGCACCGGCTGCGGAGCTGGTGATGGCGTCAGGACCGGCTGCGACATGGTGACCTGAGCGTGCGGTGGAGCGCGCGGACAGCGCGTGCGGCTAGCCATGAGACTCAAGGCATTATCAAAATACTCACAAACCAAACAACAATGATGTCGACACAAATCTAGTAGCCTCGCATAGGTCAAGCTGTCAAGTAGTTACAGTAGGTTGTTAGTAGTTGAACTATTCTAGGGCATCGATGCCCTTCCAACACACTTCCCTTTAAGAAATGTCAAACGCCACGTGCTTCACCACCCTTCAAGCACCATGACTCAACTCTCTGTGACACCTGAACGCAGGTGTCGAATCCAAGCCTTCCAAACCCCTTCTGGAAGCCTGGAGCTTGGGAGACTTGGGAGCCTTGGGTATTTCATCAAGAGGTTGTGGTCGCATGTAGTCGCACCTGGAAATGCCAACTTCAGGCATGCAACCTGATCCAGCAGATTGATGCTCTTGGCGTTATGGAGAAACAAATGTAATATATGATTGAAGAAACATGCATCTGTACCTAGCAGCGTCCTGGTGGTTCTGGTGCCTTTTTTTGTCGTACCACAACCCTGTGGAGGATTTGTGATCAGCCGCAACTCATGTACAAATAGAAAAGCGCACGATTTTTTGGCAGAGTCTTGGATGCTTCGTCTGTTCATTCGCCAATCTCGGTCGAGCTGCAGGCTGTGCAGGCGTCACCGGGGCAGTGCTGCTCCCGGTGATCACAGTGGCAGGACGGTTGGCCCAGGCACTGGCGACCGGCACTGGGGCAGCACCGCCCAGGGAGGGGAACCTGGGCGGACCCCAGGTGCTTGGAAATGGAGACTGTTGGATGGTGCCCCGCCTGCAACACAAGTTTGTTGGATGTCAAGGGCTTCTTTGTCCACTTCGTAGTCCACATCAGTTACTATAGGACCAGGAATTCTTTTTAACTGGCAACCGGATACCGCGGAGTTCTGATGGTTAGGAAGCTGCTTGGTGTGTCTACCCCCCAAGCAAAAACAGTAGTAAGGTTGCTAAGGGATCCCTTCTATCAGCAGTTCCTATAGATGGAAGAATGAACCCAACCCCATGCCAACACCCCAAGAAACATGTTGTCTCGGTTCTTAAAACCAAAGACTCACGTGCAACTGGTGGTTTGTTTTCCCTTAGCAGTACACAAGAAATATGCTTGGAGGCAGTCTTCCGCTCTTTAACATGATATGGCATACAATCCATCCGGGTTTTCGTCTGCAAAGCAGCTGGCGTGTTCCCTCCCTCTGTGCCCAGTGGCTGCTGCGCTGATGAGATGTTTGCGGTGAAAGGGCTCGACTGGACCGGCTGTGTTGCTGTGACTGGTGCGCCTCGCCAGCGTCATCCGGCAGAACTGTTGGGCCCGACATTTTGGTGTCAACACTTTCCGAGTACTAGGCCTTTCTCCAAAATTGTGAACACACGTTATTGTTTATTGCGGTTTATTGACTGTAACAGATCCCGTCCCCTCTTTCGTCACATCGCTTTTCACATCCCCCAAGCAACCATAAAGGGCATGGTGTGCACCGAACCGCTGTGCGCGCTACTCCGTAGCCCAGCTGTGTAGACCGCCTGTGACCACCTTGATGGGCTGCTGGATGCGGCTGGCATCCTGGGCTGGAGAGTTGCACTTTTTACGTGGTCTCCAGTGCCTCCAATCCTACCTTGTTGACCTTGTTCACCTCGTATTCACCAAAGCTCGTTGACCTTGTTGACCTTGAAGGGGGGGCGATTGACTGTCGACACCCGGGTTTCTCGGACTGGCGTTCAGAAGTCCTGCGGAATGGAGTACCACTCGGAATCTGCCCGGAGTTGGAGCGCAGTTTAATCCTTGCTAACATGTTCTGCGTTAGCGAACGTGCACTATCAGCATCCTGTCTTGGACAAGTGCTGCTTGGAGGACCTGAATTGAGCGGAGGGTCGGAGGAAACTGAGACTTTTATATAAAGGCGCCTGGTTGGCAACCAGAAGCCCGCCAGCTCCTCTGCCAACTGCTCGTTGGCAACCCTGAACCCCATGCTGTCCCGTCCCCTTCCAACTGAAATGGTTCTGGACCCAAAATGATGCTTCAAAACAACATAGTGACGTCACCTGCAGGTGGCTCTGAGAAATAATTCTGATAGACTCTTGAGTGCTAAGTTGCTTATGTTGGGAAGAAGTCTTCATTCTATGGCGGCCAAAGGAGCAAAGGTGAAACAAACATAGTGACCAGTGGAACCGGCCCCCCACATGGTGACCAGGGTCTGCTCCACCAGTCCTAAAAGGATGCTCCGCCTTCAAGAACTATCCCAAAATGAAAACTGCATGGAGGTTAGGGGTGCCAACTATCCACTCACTGGATGGGACAAGCAAAACCACTCCTTTGTGTCTGCTGGTGTATTGCATCAATTCCATACATGGAGTGTCTGGACTTTATATATACACCATGCTGGAGCACTCACGTAGGTTCCAAACGTGAGGAAGTTCCTCTTCTCGGGAAGCGCCGAAAAAAGGGGCGGGAAGGTCCAAGGCACGAAATCCATCGAGGTGTCCTGCGCGAGGTGTCCATGGATGTGGCAGAACACAGAAATACAGAAAAGCTGTGCGTTACGCTAACAATAGTCAACTATATGGTTGAATCAAAAGAGATAGAAGAGAAATACTAACAGAACTGGAACATGGGAGAATCCATACACCTCAAGGAGTAAATGTCTGACTGTTTTCATCGGAACTCTGCTTTTCATTTCGCCTCTTTTCAAGGACCACTTCTGCCCCCCCCCAAAGTGCCACTCCAGGGCACTCCTCCAACCCATCGTTTGTCCCCCAGCTCCACCCGGACGCGGCGGACCGGAACTTCCCTTGCGGGAAGACGAGAGAGCCGACGCGACGCGAGGCCGCCTGCGCACTGCCCCAGGTGAAGTGCCCTCCAGCGCCGCCCTTCTTCGGTGGCGCATGCACGGTGCTCACCGCCATCCGAGACCGGCGATCCTTCTCGCTCTCGCCCATCGCGGCACGCTCCGTGCGGAGGCTCCCGGCCGAGGCGTGGTGAAGCTTGAAATGGCTGAGGAGGAAAGGGATAAAGAGGGAGAGTTACGTAAAGATGCTCCCAGCGGGTGGTTTCACCACCAAATGTCGGGCACTAAACGCAGAACTCTAAAGGGTTCAATTTGGTTCATGGTTCTTCTCCACGATCTTCTCCACTTATAAGTCAACAAAACACCATCCGCCAGGATCTCAAAAAGGACACCTCCGAGTCAAAGAGTTGAAGCTCGACTTTCACCGGTGGGCTCGTTGGATGTGTTGCCCTGCCCAGCTCGTGGAAGTGAGACTTGTCTGAGTTTCTGTCCTACCAGGACCATCCAAGGGGCCCTTGGATGGTCCAGGTGCATGTTGCAGTCTTGGATTGCCATTTTCACACGGCACACGCAGGTACAAGATGGTACAAGATGGTATAAGTATTTTAGGGAAGTCAGGAAGGCTTTTGAGGTCAACAACGTCCATTGTTCCCCACAATCTCGTTGGTACCAACTACTCACCCTTTAGAAAGAATTCTTCTGAACACAACATAACACAACCACGAACTAACGCAACCCCAGGTCATATTCCAAACTGCTTCATTGATGGGTGAGAAGATGTGTCATCGCACAAATGCAAAACACACACATCATAAAAACACCATGACCGACACCGTTCGCCCGGTGGTTGGAGGGACACCGGTGGTATCACCAATCACCTAGAGGCGATGGATAGACACCTCAAACCATGTCTCCACTGGCTCTTCGGCTGCCTTCGGCTTCGGCTTCCGGTCCAGCTCCCCAGGTCCCCCAAACCAGGCTCAATGGGCACGCAACGTAAGCAGCCGCTCCTGGAGCGTCGCGACGGTCGGTGCCACCCCGTGCCGGTCCGGGTGTTGGTGTCCATGTCTTTATACGTCGTCTTTACGGTCCATACGGAGACAACACGCCATTCAGAATCCAGAACACATGGCCTAAGAAACCAGGTTTGATCATGATGGATTCAAGTGTTCTCTGTCATCTGTGTATTTTCTATTGTACTGCAGCCGTAGGAAGTTGAACATGGGTGACATTCATGATGTACTGGAGTGACAACTTCAAGAACACACAAGCAGCGAATTGGCTTCTGCTGTTCGACCGGATTACCTAACCGACTTCGCAACACATCGCCCTCTCCAATACATCGCCCTCTTCATGCCTGTCCTGCACCAGCATCCAAGCAAGGGAGACTCCTGTGAGTAGCTCCCAACACCATATAGTCGGTACAGCGCATCCGACACAATGGGAATCCTTGCGGCGTTCGCTCGAAGCGATGTGGAACATCGCGGCGACATCCAGCATGCGTCGGTGCAGATGTCCTCGATGGCTCCCAAGTTAAGGGAAACTTCTTTAATGCACTATAGGTGACTCTAGCCAGGCTAGGTGTTTTTTTGCTTGGGCCTGGTGTTGGGAGGTCAACAAACTCTTCATCTTGCTTTACATCTATATAATAGGCTTTGCATGCAGTAGAGGAGGCGTGGCCTCGATCCGGTGGCTGGTTGAGGTCTGGGGCCATCCATTCACCCAACGTCCGTCGCCCGAACCAACGCATTCGCCAAGCCACAAGAGTTGCGCTCGATCCAACACGCGCGCGAAGGGCTTCCTGCATGGAGAACGCCAGCACAGCTGAAGCTTGGGAGCTATCAACTGATCATAGATCGAGTGATGGGAACAGTATGGAACAGTACTTAGTACATGGCTGGCTCCATGGATTCAACATGCTAGCAGTTGAGGGGAGCAGTTGTGACCAAACACCTTAGGTGAGACCTGGTGAACGAGAAGAGGCTAGACGCAATGAAGAAGCGATAGCAAGCGCATGGTTACGGAACTCCCGTAATCGTTCTGAAGGGGCCCTAATCTCGCCTGGGCTGCAAGGGGTGCACCACCAGCGCAACGCCTTTCGGCAAGGCCAGGGCCTCAGTTGGATTCAGTTAGAGTCACCAGCTTGGCCCAGCCAGGCCCAGGCGGCTGAGAAGGCATCGATTTTGTTGGAACCCGGATCGGATCGGATGGGCTCGGCTCCAGCCATCGGCTTCCGAATCGGAGGCCGGTAGGGGGTCCATGCCTCTCAAGACAGTCTTTGAACCTGGAATTGTACCGACCTTGTACCCATTTGGGACCGGTCCATGGTGGGTGCACGATCGATCTACACCATGCTTGACCTCCCTGGTGTTGACCCACAGCCAGGCTTGCCTCAGACTGATCAGGATACCCAGCTTCAGCATTCTTGGGAATGGACATATGGGGCGCATGGACTATCAAGAGAGTTCCCCCCGAACTGTGAGGCCCAGGCCTTTTCACCAGGCAGCCCTTTTACGACCCGAATTCGTGCCCTCGCATCCTTTTCTCGAGTCACATTCGTGCTGCTGAGCAAAAAGAGATCACAAAAGTTACGAGACACGCCGACGCTCTACGAACACGCCGAGTCCGCCGACGCCGAGTCACGCCTGTACGCAGAGACCTCTTGGACCCCCCCTGTACGCATGGCCAGCTGTTGATGCGGGATGCGGGGTGTGAGGGTTTGGCATCCGAACCGGGGTGTCTTGAAGAAGCCCAGCTTGCAGCTCGAATCGCCAACTTTCATGCTGCGGATTGCGCATCGCAATGCGTTGCATGGAGTGGGGAGGGAGTTCCAAGATCTACCTACTACTCTAAGCAAAGAATTTGGGTTTGGCTCAGACGCAAGCTTGAAAACAACAGACTATATGCAGCTTATTAACTTGCTTGGACGAGTCCTGTTTTGAAGAGTAAAAGGTGAAGTATCGTGAGGTCTACTCTTGCGCCAAGCCCAGCCCGTTTGGAAAATACGTGGTCACTGAGAGAGAGCACCTCTCTCATCAAAAGAAACCTTGGCGTGTCGACAGTGAACATCTTTCAACCTGTTCTGGCGATGAATTTCTTGTCTTTGATGGAAGGTGGACACGTGCTGCTGATCCGTTCTTTCAGGAATGTTCAATTCTGCATAATTCTGCTGTGCGGGTACAACACAGGGTCAAAACCAAGGGGACCCTGGTTGATCACCGAAAATGAACAGGATGACCATGTCAACCGGGGTTTGGAGCTCCAGATGCCATGACCCACTGCCATCTCACGCTTGAGCGGGCCTGGTTTGAACCTCCCATCAGAGGTCCTCAAAGAGTTTCCTCCACCCTCCCTGAAACAATCGTGAAGCCAGCAAAGATTCCCCCAAAACAGGGTAGTGTTCAGCTTCCATGGGTGTCTGAGAGAGGGTTGGTAGTGTGCTTTTCCATCTGTTCTTCCACGGGTTAGTAAGTAGGGGTATACAGCATTCAATATACATGAGCAACCCAGTAGCTTACAGTAAGTAAAGCAAAACACACCAAACAAAGAATGTACACAGCACGACTACACATGTAGCAATGCAGTAGATGTTGATTCCTCCTTTGGAACAAACCCCTAGCCCTAAACCCTAAACCGTATCTTGTGTGGAAACTCGGTCAAAAAACCTACAGCATAGTTACAGTAATTAATTCCATATAGTAATGTTTGATTCGAGGTGAGTAGATCTAATTTCAAGGTAAGTGGGTATGAGATTTGGCATTACCCGAGACTGGTATAAACTATCCCAAGATATCCCAAGGGTGAGGTGAGGAGGGCAGCGGCTGCGCAGCGGCCCGGCAGACTGCTCCAGCGGCCAGCGACTGGAGGCCTGCAACGGGCTGGGCCGAGGATGTCAGTTTCGCTTTGATGACTGCGCCCATGTCATTTCTTTAGATTTTGGCTGCCAGCTAGATTAGATCCATTTGCAGCCATGGGTAAATCTTTGGCTGAACTTTTGGCTCAGAAGAAAAGGGTGCAGACCTTTGGCTGAAAATAGAACTCCCTCAACTCATTTGGCAACTCATCGTCGACCAGGGCTTAGCCAGCTAAGGAAGGATGATGTGCTCAAGAAACCAGCTGGAGCCCTTAAGCGCCCAGCTGCTAGTTCTGGGACAGGTGTTGGGACAGGGTCTCATCCACAGCAACTCCAAAAAATGAAACTAAGCTCAATTGTCAGTTTACCTGTCACTGTTGATTTCATTTGCACAGGTTTGTTGGGATTTTCAGGGGGTACTCGTGCAAGGAGCCTTGATCGACCATATCCTTTACCTGATTCAGTTGCCGGACTTGGGAGCCTCAGCATACCTTACAAAGTGCATAACATCCTAATTCAAGTCCTTTCTCATTGTCATCGCCAGAGATGGCCGTGCTTGCACGCTCGTGACGCGGTGCTCTGCTGAGGGGATGGGCACATGCCCTGCTGGAGAGATGCGAGGCGGTGTTTGGGTTGGAGCAGTGCAAAAGGAGGATCAGCCAGCCCCAAAAAGCTTTTACGATGTTCAGTGGAATTGAATGTGCGAGAACCGCCTGGCATGTAATCGAAGCAGCAGTTGAAGCCCGTTGGGGTGTGAAAGCTGGGCTGCAGTTTCAATTCGCAGCCCCTCAGTTGGACCGTTGAAGATTTGGGTTGTTGATGTTTTTGGGAAGGGGGGTGATACCGGGTACCGAAAGTATCATAGCATTAGAATTGGACCATCACTATGACAATCATCAAGGCCCTAATATCATGATGTTCAACCAAATCTTTTATTCAATCAACCCCAGCCGGTGATCCATCTTAGGTTGAAAACAACCGCTTGTGTCAGCAGTGGATTCAGCAGATGTACCCTGATGAGTGCATCTTCGAGGATGTCTTTGGCATGATCTCCAACCGTGTCCCCAAAAAGACTTTGATGAAAGCGTCCAAGATTCAGTTCAAAGAGTGTGCCCGTTGTGTGGTCCACAATCGGGCTTGCAACTTCTCCATTGGCGAAGATGACATGTGCGTACTTGGAACCCCATGTGTGCTGTTCAGTAAGCTGCATGACAACAAAACAGTCATGTTTTGAATGTGGGATTATTCCAGTTGAACTTCGGTTTTGTCCATTCATTCTGTTTGCCACTGACCTCAGCGCCGTCCCAGGTTGGGTAAGCAGGAGAGCTTTGAGAATATTGGAAAGGCCTAGGTGCATGCTGTGGGGACCGCGGCAATGTCGAAATCCGGGCAATCAGTTTTAGAGAATGTCGAGGGATATGACACAACCTACATCGACACGCATTTGGACCAACCAGTCGACATGGCAGTGTTGCTTGATGGAGATGACATGAAATGGACTGATTGGACCTGACCTGTAGTCAAGTCAATGCCCTCTTACAATTCAGCATGCCCAATCCTGACCCTGTCTGTGGCCAGCCTTACTCAGGTTGACACCGCAGCGGTTCGGGAGCCCTTCAAGTCGGCCGAGGGAATATCGGCTCACCTGGAACAAGAAGCATTCGTGGCAACATGAGCTTTGTCTACAATCCTAAGTCACATCGAAGTATCACATTGCTTTGATTCCAATGTCATATTATAGACTTCATCTTTGGTGTGGTTGCTTGAGGACCTCAAGTTTTCCCAACTCGCGAGTGAGATGCTAGTCCAAAAAGGGCAGACCTTGCCCTTGACACCTACCTGTTTTGCGGTCTCTGGTGCTGATGAATTGAAGCGAATCTGGGGTACTGAAACTCCCGGAGAACAAGATTTGCCAGAGTGAAACTCTCAGTGTTCATTTGTCTCAAACACTATTTTTTGTGTAACTGTCTCAGTTCGATCGTATCCAACTAAACTCTTTCCAGTGTGTTGATTCAGCCAAGGTCAATGATTCAATCCTTGAGGCAATACAGGAACGCCTACAAGGGGAAGACTATTTTTGACCTTTCTCAGGATGCAACAACTCGTGGCCGAACTGACTTGAAAGACTTGTCCATGCCTACACTGGCAACATCTTCAAGACACCTATGGTCCCTGGTCATGTTACTTCCCACGCTACTTTCTTGGGGCCCGCCCAAATCCTGCCCTTCACATCCTGCCTTGCTCTATCTTGCTCTCAGGTCTGAGCACCTCGGTCGATGCTACACTGGTCGGGAGAAGCTGTTGAGTCTGGGAATGCCAGTTTGGGGACCCCATGCAACAGCAGCAGGGGTGGAGGGGGCCTCAGTACCAACCGCAACAGTTCAGTCAGGGAGTGCAGGAATTGCCCAACTACTGGATTTGGATATTCTCACTTCATAAGCTGAGGACCGAGTGACCCTTGCAGATGACGGCTCCTTTAGTGAAGCCTGTCTCACAAGCATGAGTGGGAACGGCATGCATCTACCTAGTGTTGGCTTTGCCATGCTGATTTCAAAGCTGGCAATCACGCCCAAATGATGGTGTTTCCGAGCCGAGCAGTGTGTTTGGATTTCAACCAGTGCGGAGACTTCAGGGTGTAAAGGCTGTCTTGTCACCTTGCAGCTGCACTGAACTGACCGGACCCACCAGAAATCATCAATCATTGGCAGCAGCTAATTGGCAGCAGAATCATTTATCATCATTGGCAGCAGAATTCAAGACCCCTTGACATTCAACTTCAATTGCCATCAGCCCTACATCACCTGTAGGCTGCCTGCAAGCTGGGTCTCCGGACGCTGTTGCCGCTTGTCCGGGAACCTGGAAGTGGCACAGCGGAGCAAGTCTTTTCAGTTTCCATGCCCTCTGACTGGATTCCTCTGCTGTTGGGTCAAGGCCATGATTTGATTCCTCTGCTGTTGGGTCAAGGCCATGATTTGTATTGATTTGTGCATTGGCCGTGGAGTGATTTTTTGTATCGAGTCTTGCAATCAAAATGAACTTGATCCCCAGAATGCCATGTCAAAACACAAGAATTATGGTGATCATGTGATGACACAACATGAGATCAAAGAATGCAAAAATCATCAAAGAACTGTCTACACCTGACAGTCTGGGCCATGGCCTGTTAGCCGCTTGTCGATGCCGCCCTTTCAAGACGAAGGGCCTGAGAAGCGCCAAAGGGCACTGGAGCAGATTCCCCTTACAACCTTGGACACAAGGGAT